AGCTCACTCACACCGATGACCTATCTACGTCGTCATTTACCCAGAATGCTTTGCATGTAAATAAAATGGCTCTGTTTTTGTTAAAATATATTTTTAAAAATTTACAAAACTAAACAGCCTACAGTATTTTACAGTCTTTATTTTACAGTTAAAATATATGTTTATCAAATAAAGTCTAATGTTACAACTAATCGGGGATCCCTTTAATTGGTGTGGTGTACTATAAATGGTGTATGAAGTGATATGCTGTTTTTATTGACTGTTTAAATGTAGGACTGATCTTATTAAACCTGGCAGTAGAAACTGCCACCATATACCACACCACCTCACATATTTAAGGCAATATTTAAAACAAAAACGTCCGATTTACAAATGCTGCTTAAAATACCACTTTATTTATAAAGCACTTAAAAACAGCTACAGCTGCAACAAAGGGCTGTAAGTTTAAAATCAAATAATGTTTAAAGACATACAACGAAGAATAAAAGCAGTTAAAATAGTAAAATTGATCAAAACAATAAAATAGAAATAAAAATAAAGCTCCTTTAAATATGAACTGAGGCAAAGTGGGAGAATGTTGGAAACCACAACTGTACCAATGAGGAGAGAGACCAACCAGCCTGTTACCAGCTGTTCAAAAAAAAGTCTGCCTCTCTGATGGTATGGGGGTGCATTAGTACCTACATCATGGGCGGCTTATACATATGGAAAGGCACTATCAATGCAGACAAGTGTACATGTTTTAGAACACAAGCTTGCATTCAGACGTCTTTTTCGTGGAAGACCTTGCGTATTTCAGCAAGACGTTGCCAAACCGTATACCCCACCATYACTACAGCATCACTGCAGTCCAGACTCCTCACCAGCTGACAACATCCTGCCTACCTGGTGCCCCCCAAGCTCAGCTCCAGAGCCCACTTCATTCGTCGGACCCCGCTGCCTCCTCTTGTGGACAAGGCTCCTGCTCCTCCCTGTCCCCCTGGAGCCGCCATGGCAATGAACCTCACTGACACACAGCACCTGCACAGACCAAAACAAACACGATGACGCAACAGAAACACGATGATGTAACAYAAAGAGACACTACAGGACAAACACAGAAGTACCGACACAGAATTAACACATATGATCTTGTTTTAAAACATTAAGCCCGTGTGAAGGGCTTCAGTTTATCACAAGGCAGCTGCCTAAACAACGAGAGACACGGAGACAGAAAAACCAGCAAACAGAGTGAGTGAAAAGGGACGGCAGCAGGTTTATGGTGTTCAAGCCGCAGTTTAAAGAGCGCAGAAACAGAACAGCCCKACGAGGGAAGGACAGAAGCAGGAAGATGTCAGCAAACGTCGAGAACACTAAACAGCACATATTCCGTCAGATAAAAGTCCGACTCACCTTACAGGAGCCTCCAAACCACCGCTGCCGTGTTTTAAACTTAGTTCCTGCTGAAAAGAAGCTAAAGCAGCTAGCAGGCAGAGCCAGAGAACAACTTGTTCTTCTGTCCACACTCACTGACTCCTGGGCCCGCAATGATGACGCACTTACGCTGCAGAGGCGGAAGAGACGTCACGTTGTTTTTTTTAATTGAAAATGATTCACAAAACAAAATCCACACATATACAGTACTTAGTTCATTTTACATCAACTTGATGCATTAATTAATAAAAAAGGAACAATAAAGAGATGAACAATAAACCAGAGAAGATAAAATTAAATTTATAAAATTAAAAGCTTACCAGGGGTTTAAATGAAAGCAAAAACAAAATAAATAACAGTGACAACAGCTTATTCATACAATGTGACCATGCTGACAGTGTCCTAACAGCCTTTCGATTTGTACAGTGTTCAATATTTCTTATGTAAGTCTCAAAGTCCTTCAGAAACTCAGAAAAAAGTGGGTCTTTTACCTGAGAATTTACATTTATGTATGTAATACTTTGCAATAATTAAGAGTATAAGTTAATTATAAAAACTTCTTTTTCAAATTCATTGTCATTTGCAAAGAATTCCAAGATAATGCGTTACATACACGCTTTATGTAAACAAAATAAATTACGTGAAATTATATATATTTGATTTAGTTTACCAAAATAGCGTTAAGAATCCACACCTTTTCTATGACCTATTTTAAAACATTTTGACTCTGTACCAGTTTGTACTCATTTTTAAATAATCTACACAAACCTTTGTTGCAGAAAGACCTGAAAATGTATAAACTATTCCTTTTTATTTAAAGGAAAATTGTATTAGAAAATGCATTTTTTCCCAACAAACAAACAAACAAACAAACAAACAAACAAAAACACAGACACTATTTACACATCTGTGTAGGAAAAAACAAAGTTGTGGAACCATACAGAAGAGGCATAGGGCCACTGAAAAATTAAAAAAGGTAACTTTAATCTCCCTCCAAAATCTGAGATTAAAGTCAGAATTCTTTTCCCCCCCCAGTGGCCCTAATCCTCGTCTGTATTGACCTTTTTCAGCAAAGCTGGTGAAATGAATTAAAGTTTCAACTAGACTCTAGAGAATCAGCATTACCTGCAATAACGCAATGTGAAGAAAGATGTCCATGAAAACTGCTGAAGAAGCTGAAAATGTTCAATAGCAAAACTGTTAATGCAAGTTAAATTTGAACAGCTGAATTATGCTGAAGGCAGGAAAATAAAAGTAGAAAGTCTCAGAAACAAGTTGAAATTAGCTGACAGATGGTGAACAGAGCAAAAAGCTCATATTGGCAGAAAAACAAGTATAAAGTTGCACTTTATTGTAAAATGAGTTGTTAAAAAG